CCCAAGTCCAGAGATCCCATACTTGGCTTCTGTGTGGGCACAAACTTGCTCTTCCCCTCACCCCTGCAGCACAGGCTCTTGCAGAGCTCTGACGGGTGGGGAAGCCAAGGCAAGGCAACAGGGATGATATCTGCCCGGCAGGAGTGCAGGTATCCTAGGAGGTGTCTGCAGCCCCTCTTGGTCATCAGACTGTTTGAACAATTACACAAGGAATTAGAATTTTCCCAGAAATTTTATGCTGGAGGTAGGGAAAGCCTGGTGCTAGAAACAGAAACAGATGTCACAAAGTGCTGACGGCTCATCAGACGGCTTTGCAGGAGGGAAGAGCACAACAGTCATGGGTCGGTAATGCGTAGGGCCACACTGACCAGGATGGCTTAGCTGTATGTACTTCCTGCTCTTCACTAAACCTAAGCCTACCAGAGATGGTGGGGGGTGGGTGTCACTGCTTGTTCCTCTTCTCAATGTCACCACACTTGATATATCTCATTTCTCTGCTTTTCAGTATTACTTGCCACTTTGTCTGTTGAGAACCAGCTAGCTTGTTAGGGCTGCCAAGGTCCAGCTTGTATGCTAGAAACCCCGGTAACAGGGCCGCTGGAGATGGGTGCACGAGCTTAGGCCCTGGACAGGCTACCCACCTAGCAGCTGTGCCCTGATCCTGCCCCCTCCAGCTCTCACCACTCCCTCTGGTACCCCGCCACTTTCAGGAGGCAGTGCCAGGGCTCCCGGGCTGGACAGGTGGCTACCTCCAGTCCGTTTCCACAAAGCTAGCCAGGCAGCTTCAAGGACCCCGTGCTTACAGCCGCTTCACCAAGAACTAAGCCAGCTTGAGCTTGGCCAGACACCCCGGGAAGACGGAGCTCTATGTCACAAGGCCTAGCTTGGGGGTACTTGTGCCCTGACACTCCTCCTGAGGACCATGGAGCTACCTCCCCATCCTTGAGTAGTCCCCACAACTCCCTTCCCTCCAAAGCCACATGAGCCCCTCCAACATGGCTGAGTGCTCTCCTGGCTCCCAAGTGCCCACTGGTTCTGGGAAATAAATTCTATCTTGGTTTATTTTTTTTTATTTTTTATTTTTTACTGCCAGGGGTTTAATAGCAGCTGAGTGCGACAGCGGCAATAGTGACGACATTTAAGGCGCACGAAGAGATTGCCCCCATCTAGATCCCTGCCTGCAGCTCCAGGTGTCCCAGCCCCACCCACCATGTTCAAGAATTAATGAGTGCTATGGTCACTGACTGCCCTTCCTGGAGGTCCCACCTGGATGCACAGGGCTAGAGCAGGAGCCAGACAGGGACAACCCTGCAGCCAGGCTCCCCATGCCACGGTGCCCGGCCTGGCCTGGCCTGAGTCAGCCCCTGTATTCAGGGAGATGAGGGCTGACTGGCTCTGAGAAGCCCAGGAGGTCTTTCCCTGCCCTGTGCCCTCCAGCCCTGACCCTGCTTTCACCATCTTTTTCTTCTGAAGGGGACACCTCTCCGAGCAACCATTTGGGTCATAGTTGTCTCTCCTCCACCCCGGCTTCTGCCTCCAGACGTCAGCATCTGCTGTGGTCCTGCCGCCAAGCATCAGACCTAGGCCAGGCTCCACACAGCCTTATCCTGCCCCCACGTGGTATCGGGCCTGGTCCGTGTGCATCAGCCCCTAGTCCTCCCGTCTCAAACGCTGCTGGAGCTCAGAGCCCAGGCTCCCAGGCTCTGGCTCGGAGGCTCCCTCGGGGCTGTGTGCTCACACCTGCCGTGTAGGATTCGTCCCTGCAGCCCCGCTCTGGACCCCACCCTTCCAGCCTCCCGACACACCCCATGGCTTCTGGATCTTCTGTCACAAGCGTCAGACCCCAGGTCTGCAGTCTTAACAAGGGACAGCCTGGAACTCTCTGCAGAGACTCAGTGTGTAGCTCAGCTAATTCATAACACGAGTCAAATACAGAAACACCAAATTGTCCACCTCTCTGCACAGGCCCCGTCTGCCTCTAACATTCCCACCGCTGGGCTGCAAGCGCAGAGTCTCTGTCACCCTCCCAGCTGCTAGGCTTCCTGGGTGAAGACTTGGTTCAGAGAGGGTACAGCCATTCTGGCCACACAGCTAGGAGAGTGGGGACAGGGATTTGGGGCTCTTTAGTCAGCAGCATTATTTAGGGGCTTGGGGAAGGGCATGAATAATAAGCTGTAGACATCATCTGGGCTAAATGCAGGCAGTCTGGGGAACAGGGACCTTGGCAAGCACAGGGGAGCCTAAGAGGCCAAGTGCCACATTCTCATCTCCTGGTTTTACCTGATGGGCTACAGTGAAGGGACAATAGGGGAAACAGGTGGCCCCCTACCCGGCTGCCCACAGACAGCAGACAGCACCCCAGACCCCCAGCACACATGCACATATGCAGGCCTCTCCGCACCTGGGCACGTGGGGTCCCCCTCCAGCACTGCTCCATCCATGCAGAACCCGCCCTCCTCACAATTTTCTTGGGAGGTCCCAGGGCACAGAGCACCCAGAGTGCTAACAAGGCCCCCAGGGTACGAGGAGAATGGCAGGTGGGGAGATACTGCCCTCTAGAGGGATATGTTACCCATTGTGCCACAGAGGAGGGGATGAACCAGGGCAGTCCCCAGAGGCTCCACAGAAAGCCAAAGGGGAATAAAGACAGTCTGAAGATAACAGATTAACAGGAGCGGGGACTTGCCAGGATGGGAAGGAGAGTGAGCTGGGCTCCTATGCTCAATCGAGCATCCACACATTTATTCTCTCATCAAACATTCAGCACGCTTAGCAACACCAAGGACATAGCCCAGCGCCAGACACAACCCAGAAGAGCCAGCTGTGGGCTGACACCTCACTGTGGAGGGACAGAGAGTCGCCAAAAATCACTTATGCCAGAGGCAGTGGTACGTGCCTACAGTCCCAAATGCTCTGGAGGCTGAGGCAGGAGAGACCTGAGGACAGGAGTTCAAGACCAATCCGGACAACATAGCAAGTCCTGTCTCAAAACTAAACACAAACGGACTGGAAAGTTGGCTTAGTGGCACTTGTTGTGAAAGACTGGGGTTCAAATCTTGACTCCCAACATCCACACGGAGGCTCACCACTTCCTCAGGTACCAAGTATACGGCTGGTACACGTATGCACATGCAAAACATCCATACACATGAAATAATAAAAGTAAACCTTAAAAAAATCCCAAACTAAACAAACCCAAAATCAGCTGGGGATGGATCTCAGCTGAGTGGCTCCTCAGCGGAAATGAAGTCCTGAGTTTGTCCCTAGCACTGACAGCATAAACTGGGCATAGTGACACACACCTGCAATCCTAGCACTCAAGCGGCAGGAGGATCCGGAATCCAAAGTCATAGGAGACTAGCTTTAGCTACAGGAGACCCTGTTTAAAAAACAAAATGTCCACCACGCAGTGGTGGCGCACGTCTTTAACCCCAGCACTCGGGAAGCAGAGGCAGGTGGATCTCTGTGAGTTGGAAAACAGCCTGGTCTACAGAGTGAGTTCCAGGACAGCTAGGGCTACACAGAGAAACCCTGCTCTGGGCACCCCCCCTTGTTGTGAAAGTTACTTGCTTGCAGTGGAGGTTCCTGTTACTCGTGGGCTCCTGTCGCAGTGGGATAAGCAGAAACTTTCCGTAGGGGGAGGGCAAGAGTCTACCCGTGGGCTGGCTAGGTTGTTCGCTTAGATTAAACCGGATATGGGCAGGACACCGGATGAGATGGGCTCGGGCTCAGAAGTCTGAGCCCCTTAGAAGGTTGGGGACAGGGGCAAGAGCTTGGGGTTGGAGGTGCCAGCGACAAGGACGGAGTCTTGCAGCTGAGTGAGGACTGCGGGAGACACAAGACATAGAGAGTAGTTAGAGTGGCTTGGGTAGGGAATGAATCTCAGGTAGAGTAGCTAGCTTACAACACTCTCACACACTCACTCACACACACTCACACACTCACTTTCACACACACATGCTCACACACTCACTTTCACATACACACTCACACACACACGCACGCTCACACACATACACACTCACACACACTCACTCACTCACACACTCACTTTCACACACACTCACTCACTTTCACAACACTCACACACTCACTTTCACACACTCATACACACACGCTCACACACTCACTTTCACACACTCATACACACGCTCACATACTCACTTTCACACGCTCACACACTCACCCACACTCACTTACACTCACACACTCACTTTCACATACACACACGCTCACACACTCACTTTCACACACTCACACACTCACTTTCACACACTCACACACACGCTCACATACTCACTTTCACATACACACTCACTTTCACACACTCACTTTCACACACACTCAACACTCCCTCACATACACTGTCACACACTCTCATACACTTTCACACACATGCTCGCACTCTCACACACATACACACACTCAACACTCACATACTGTCACACAAACTCACACTCTCACACTCACATTCTCCTCTCTCTCTCTCTCTCTCTCTCTCTCTCTCTCTCTCTCTCTCTCTCTCTCTCTCTCTCACACACACACACACACACACACACCCTCTGGATCTTGGGTTGAAGGAGGAGGTTGATTCTTGTCCAGCCCACCGGCCGTCTCCGGCCGTGGCCAGGACATGGGAGGATGTGAGGTGGGTTTTGAGTCTGACCTTACGGTGTCTTGGGCTTAGCAGTCACTGTGCCATGTGCTGTTGCAGCTGCCTAGAGGCCAACCTAAGTCTCATATGGGGGCCCCAGCCAATAACGTGGTCCCTAGGGCCAAGTTTCAAATACCCCTGCCTACTGCCACGGCCCTCCCCCAACCCGCGGCCTCCCTGGAGCCCCAGCCGCTCAGGACCTGGCCCTGCCGGGGTTCCCCCAGGCCTGGTCGTTCCCACAGACGTCCCAGGAGCGCGTTCCCGCGGGTCCAGCGGTCGCTAGGCTGCAGGCTGGGGCCCAGGCCCTCTCGGCTGAGCCGGCAGAGAGTGGTGCAGGTGGCAGCGCATGGCGGCAGAACCCGGGCGCTCGTGGACTCAGGCGCGCAATGCGTACGGCGCTAGAGAGGCGCTGAGGCGAGGAGTGGGCCGCCGACTGGATCCCGCCTCTCAGCCCAACGGGCCGGTCCCCGAAGATGTCCGCGTCCCGGGCCGCCTGGCTCGCCTGCGCGGCCAGCTGCGGACCGAGGCGGCCGGGCGAGCCGAGGCGCCGCGGCTGCTGCGGTTAGTGGAACGCGCGGGCGCGCGAGCCGGGGCGGCGGGGACCAGCGAGAGGAGCGAGGCGCGCAGCGGGGGCTCTGTGTGCTCGGTGTGCGGGGAGCCGCGCGGCGGCGCTACCTACCCCGCGGGCGTCCTGGAGGTGAGCGAGCGGCGGCTGCAGGAGGGGCTGGCGACCGTGCGTGCCGAGCTGGGTGCGGGGCTCGAGGCGCTGCGCGCGGAGCTGCGGGCTGAGCTGGACGCCCTGCGCGCCCTGCTGCCGCCGCCGCCGCCGCCACCCGTCCGCCGCGAGCCCCGCGGTCCCGCCCTGCTGCGGGCGCTCGGCACCGTGAACGCGTTGGTTTCGGCCTCGAGGGCCGCGGAGAATGGTCCGGACGCCCCCGCCGATGGCCTAGCGAACCGAGCCACGGCCCGGAAGAACCACAAGAAAACCCCAGTGCCTTCAGCGGCTGCTCAGGGCGGAGGAGATTGAGGGGCTCCGGTGTCGCCAGAAGAGGGCAAATTGACTGATGTGCGATCCTGTAAGACTCCCTAGATGCTGTCAATGATGCTCCATTATTTAAAGGGTGGGCAGCAGAGGCTGTGTAGAGGCTTTGCGCTATGGGTAATCGTCACCTGGGACTGTGGCTGCCGCTGTAGAGCCAGCCCCTTTTGGCCTTGAAGCTGGGGGAAGAATCTGGACCAGATTGCGACTGCCTGCCGTGGAGGGACTGGCCAAGCCAAGGAATCTGCAGCCTGGAGGCAAATGGTTGCACTTTCTTTTTCTTTAAAGTCCTAGGGGGTAGGCAGGACCTCCATGCACCAGAATACCGTGTAACAGACATTAGGGATGTAGGTAGTGCCACTTCAATATACACCTCTACAAGGCATGAGCTGGGCAGTTTGCTAGCCACCACCACTCCACTGATAACGGGGCCCACCCTCCTACTCTAGTGTCATGTCAGTATCCCCTGGACTCATCCTCCAACACTTAACCCTCCCAGCAGTCATCCAACACCAGCTTCTCTCTAGAAAATATTCCACAGCGTAACAATTCCCTAGAGTGTCACCAGGCATGGTTTCATAGCGCTTGCTGTCTGTCAGCCAAACCAGCCAACTCGGTGCTTTCTGCTGGAACCTGCTTTTTCTTAAGGACTGGCTTGGGGTTGCAACCAGGGTCATCACTTTAATGTGGCACAGTAACCCCCTTTGATGCTCACCCAGCTTATTTTTAAAATAAAATGTAATTTCTGGTACAGGTGGCATTTCTGAGATGGACTGATTTTCAAACCCCTTTCCTTTGACCTGGAGAGTCAAAATAACATGTTGTTGCGGGTGGGTGCTAGAGTTGGGTATCTGAGTGGGTCCCAGTTTTGGAAGAAGTTTCTATGATTGAGGTGGGCCACAGGGCCGTCACTCAGGAGCCTGTGGGTGGTGGGGACAGGAAGGTTGCAGTGAGGTTGGAGCAGAGTTCTCTCCCCACGGTCCCCTTGACCACTAGGTACACACCTCTTCTCAGCCACATTAGGCCAAGGTCACTTTGCATCTTTTATTGTGAAAACAGGAGTCACTCCTGGATCCTAGGGGCCCTGCCAGAGTCTCAGGCTGACTCCCAAGCCCCAAAGAGCCAGGTGTGAACAGGGCAGGGTAGAGACTGAAGACCTGACGGTTGCTCCAGGAGAGGCGGATATCCTGCGCCCTCCAAGAGGTTGCTGGGGGCGGAAATTATTCACGAGCGGTCTGGGGTGCAGACTCGGTGGCCCCGTCTGGGGTATGGTCTGGAACTGGGCTACCTGAGTGTGGGAAAAGACAGGTCAAGGCGCGACGGGGCAGAGGAGAAAGCAGAGGTGGCATCTGAGGCTGCGGGAAGGAGCCTGGCATTGGAGAGGGTTAGTGGCTCCCACCTGCGTGCGCCCAATGGGTACGGTGTTTTCAAAGACTGTCCAGAGCACGGCTGGCTCACAGCCGGGTGTGGTCAGAGACCCAGAGTATCGGTAGTAGCTCAAGAGCCCCACAGAACTTGGCAGCAGCGAGGCCAGTGGGAAGGTGGCTGTCAGGTTCACAGAGACCCCTGGACGGTGGGAGAGAAGCTGGAACCCACCCTCCTCCTCACCCACATACCTTCCAGCCCAGATGGGACCCCGCAGCTTCTTACCAGGCAAAGATACATTTTTTAGGCCAGACACAATGGCAGAGAAATTGGTATTATCCCTGTCCTCCTCCTGGGGAGAATTCCAGTGAGAAGGGCTTTGAGGTTGTGTTTGTGTGTGTCCAAAAGAGAGACAGGATAGCTGGGGCACCAGTGGGAAGGGCCCAGTTGGAGGGGCTGGGAGATCTGGGGGTGGAGTGAGGAAAGGTCACCTCCCATGATGCCCACTAACACTCCATCCCATTGGCCCCTGCCTCCCAAAAGATCTGCACACGACCACACAGCCCCTTCCTCACCACCAACAGCACGGCTAGCACAGCGAACCCATCCTGGTGGCTTAGTGCCTCCCTCATGCTCTGGTACTTTGTGTTCACGTGGAGCATGTGCATCTAGGGAGTACAGACCACAGGTGGTGTCCAGCTGCCCGCTGTCCCCTACACCCATCTTCCTTCTGGCTCACCCTGAACACACCTCCATAGAGCTGCGCTTCTCATCCAGGCTGTGCTCTGAGCCTTTGTGCCCGGGGCTGCCCCAGTGGAAATGCAGCTGCAGCAGCCGGTACCCTGGTGATGGCAGTCCAGCCCCTCGGATCACTGGGCAGTTCAGCTGACAGGAATTTACTCGCAGTAGCACTGGAGGTGGGGGAACATATGAGAGCCTACCTCTCCACTGTGGGAGTCAAACTGGCCCCTGCAATGTGGTTATGAGAACCTTGATTTCTTTGCAGCATCTTGACATCTAGGTGTGAACTGACTGTCCTCTGGCCATGGCTGGTTTCATTTATAGGGACCTTCCTGCCATCTCCCTATAATGTGTGTAGAGCCTCCTTTGCTTTGGATTCCTATTTGTGCCCCATTCTCATAGCCTCTTAGTCCACTTGTGTGTGGGGGTGGGGGTGAGCTCTTTGGAGAAGCTGCCTTCTCAGCTCCTCTGTGTGTCCTGATCCCTGTGTATGGGTGAGATTCCTATAAGCAGTGTGGACTTCTTGCCTGTCTATTGGTCTTGACCTTATGATGCTGACCTGTATGGCCATCATTTTCCAGCGTCCAAGGGTCTAGAGGTGCTGAATCATAGCCTTGAAAGATGAAGGGCTCAAGAGTGTAGTCCCGCTGGACCAAGCGAAGGTCAATGTTGATAGGGGACTGGGTTGGGCCCCCACAAGCAGGTGCTAGCTCCTTCCAGTGGGAAGGGCCTGAGGAGACAAGGACTGGAGTCTGCAGCAGGGTCGAGGAGGCTGTCTGGGGGTGCACTGAGGGGGGAACCCATGACCCAAGCATACCCGCCAAGGACCATCCCTCCATCCCCCTCCACACTTGGTCACAGTGGCTCTCTAGACCCATCTGACTTAGCTACTAAGTCTGCAAGCAGACTGCCACATACAGGGTAGATGGATCTAGAACATGGCTACATACTCAAGCTAGGGTCCACCCCAGGCTCACAGACCCTGACCATGGATTACAGCACACACACATGATCACAGCATGCCTGCTGCCCAGTCCTTTGGATCACAGGGGCTGGCAGAGACTAGACAGATCCACATAGCCTTTTAAAACTGTCCTCACCACACATTGGGTCTTGGGAGTCGTAGCACCAAGTACCTGCAGACAAGAGGCAGGGACCAAGCTGAGAACTACCACGTGGCCCTTGAAGTCCCATCCTGGCGTCAATCCAGGAATGGGGCCAGGCTAGCCAGGAGAGGTTGTTCCTCTGTCCATGCATCTACTCCCAAACTTATCCCACCACTAGAGGATAAATGCTTGCTGCTCACCATTGGAGTCCACCTGTGCCACAGGTTGCATGGCAAGAAATTGGAGCAGGAAGCCCAGGGCCCACATGATGCAGCAGTGGCTGAGACTCTGGAGAACTGTAGACTGGACAAGGAAAGTGTGACCAGGATACTTGGAAGGCTGATCATTCATTGGTCAGTGAACTAGAGGTGTGGCTAAGTATCCTGTGGACACGCTGAGGCGGGGCCCTAGAGGGTCAGAGTGGGTGGAGCCCAGGTAGAGCCACTAGGAACAGAGGTGGGCTGGAGCTGATCCAGGGCTGCTGCAGCCAGTGTAATGGTTAACATTAATTCTGAAGGGTGTATATTATTCTCACAGCCAAGGAAATGGGGGACAGGGACCTGGGGTGACATGCCAATGCCACCACCAAAGAAATCAGTTCAAGCGGTGAGGTCACTTTGTAGTCTAGTACCCAAGACTTAAGAGGCTAGGGATAGGAGGCACGGATGCTTCTTGTCTTGTTATAAACCTGAGATTCCAGTCCCTGTCCCAAATCCAGGTTCACAGCTGCCTTCCTACTGATGCACCTGTCTGAGGACTACCCTACTACAAGGTCTTGGGAGATGCTGCAGCCCTTCCGTGGTGGAGACATTACGGTGGCTCAAGCCCCCTTGCCCAAGTCCCAGGCACTCTGGAGTGAAGTGTCTCTGACTCTCTGGCTTCCTGATGTGTCACATGATCACTTGACAGTTCTGCACGTGGGCACTGTGCGTTTGTGGGTGTGAGTAGATTCAGCCTAACCATGACTACCAGGAAGTGGCTGGAGGTCTGTCCCTCTGGGTATGCCAGCATTCAGCATCTCTTCGCCATAGACCAAGGGAGCTCAGTGGAGGAGTACTTGCTTAGCATGTGCCCCAGGATTTATCCTCAGCATTGTATAAACAAATACAACTGCTGGAGGACCAGATTCTTCCTGGAGGAAAGGGCAGAGTAGATGATGACCCAGACAGCCCTGCTTCAGATGTGCCAAGGGACTGGAGCTCCCAACCCCCATCAAAGGACTGAGCTGTTCCTTCCTAACCCTGACCTCTTTCTTGCCAGTCTTTGTGACAGCCTGTTGTCACTGCCCTGCCACTGTGAGGCCTGCAGGCCCCATCACAACAGCAGCTCTCGTTCCTGGGCTCTGACCACCAAGGGCTCCTGTGTGTATGTGGTGCACACATATATATACAGGCACACACACACAAAACTATAAAAATCGAAATACCATGCTAGGCCTGGTGGCACACACCTTTAATCCCAGCACGCAGGAGGATCTCTGTGAGTTTGAGGCCAGCCTGGTCTAAAATAGCGTGTCCTAGGACAGCCAAGGTTAGACAGAGTCTCAAACAAACAAACAAAACAAAAACCCAAAATACAAATTTTTAAAGGAAGGTGAGCTTAAGAATTCCTTCCAGAAATTATTATCAAGAACTCGTGTCCCACAGGAACTACAGTAGTAAACACAGCATGTGGAGCCTGCCATGCTTTCTCTGATCTCCACCTTAGCCCCTACCCAAGTGCCAGAGTGGGTGGGTGCAACCCCCCCTCTTTTCAGGAGGGAGCCCAGCCCAAGTCAACAGGCCCTGTAGTCTTTATCACCTTGGGACTTGTAGAAAGACAAGACCACCCAATAATCTTAATAGACGATAATCTCCCCAGAGGATCCAAGCTTTTCCAGCCCCTGAAGGGAGACATGGTCCAGCTCAGCCTGGGTGTAGGTAGCCAGCCCCATCCTCTGAGAACCTACAGCTGTTCTGATGGAAGGGGCAGCTTACGACCTGAACAGCTAGGGACTAAGTCCCATGCCCTTCCCTGCTTGGCCTAGCTCACATTGGTCACCAGTAACTAGAGGATACACCAGTCTGCCTATGACTCTAGTAACACCTCAAGAGAGAGCACAGGGTAGCCCTGTTATGTACCCTGCACAGAGGCTCCAAACCTAGTTGTCTGGTCCTCAACCAAGGGGTGTCAGAAGCCAGCTAGATGCCTGTAAGGGCTGAAACCTTAGAGCTCCGGCTATAGGGCCAGGCTGCAGCAAGAACTGACCATGCCTTTTCCATAACACAAGTTTATTTGGCATTGGATGAAATGGTTCTCACAGCATCTTAAGAAAGGATTAATGCCAACCCGACCAAAAATACACCCAAACTAAAACCTTTAGTGAAAGGAGTATGTAAAAACAGGCATTGAGACAATGTACAGTATCAAATTCTACTTCAAGGCAGGTCGGAGGGCATCCAGCCTCTCAGAAGAGTGGCAAGGCAGTCCTGGGAAAGGGGCCTCCCAGGAGCTTAGCCTGCCCCTTGGGGCCTTGTGGGATGGGCAAGGAGACAAACCTTATCAAATACTGGACCTGGGATTGTTCACCAGTAAGATCTGGAGAGGGTGGCAGATCCCAGTGCTTGGAACTGCAGTAACAATAGTCTGAACAGCTCCAAACACAGGCCTCAGGCACCCTGAATGCTTACTGGACAGACCCTGGAAGTCCTGTCAAGGCCTACTTCACCTCAGCAGCACCATGGTCCATTTTAGGTCACCCTCTTCACCTCTGCTCCTAGTCTCAGGCCCCAACCCCAGTAGTCATTTGGTCCCCAGAGAATCTCAGTCTGTACATATGGCCTTGGGAGGCCCTGCTGTGGTCCTTACGATTCTTCTGGGATGTCTGGCACCAAGACAGTTCCCCACTACTGCTCTGGCGCACGGCTGCCCAGCGCCCAGCATTCAATACTTGCTGGAGGCGTGATAAACTTTCCGTTCTTCTCAGCCACGGTGGAGGAGGCAAGAGCCTTTTGGCAGAGATGTCTGCAGCAGCTAGCCTGTGGGCTCAGACTTGAGACAGGGACAAATCTTATACCTCCTGTTAGCCCTGGGGATCCAGTCTGAAGATGCTCCATTATGGGAAAGGGAAGCAGGCTTCCAAGCAGTGTAAGGATGTGTCTAGAACTGTGCAGGTCTGATCAAGCACCAAAGAGCTGGAGGGTCTTAGTTGCTTCTCCCGCTCATGTTCTTAGCTGGGCAGGAGTCACACACAGTCCCACTGACCACAGCCTAGAAAGCAGCTTAGACCAAGAGGTCTAAGATCGGCCCAAGGGCAAATGGCTCATGTGGGGCAGCGGGGCCTGTCCTGAACTCCCATGAACCGTCACCCACCTGCAAATATTTGGCCATGTGAGGAAACACAGAGATACAGAAAGATCCAAATATCCAACATAGAAAAGACACAGATGTGCTAAAAATTGCACAGAACTTGCTTAGTCTCCAACCCTTAGAAACGCTAAAGGCCTGTGCCGGGAGACAAGACCACCACCTAGAGTTAGCAACAGAGGCCTCTGGGCAAAAAAGTCCAGGTACGCAGTGCTGTGGAGGGGCTGGGAGGCGTGTGTGTGGCCAGCAGATGCTGGGCTCCATCAGTGGTCATGGGGTGAAGTGGACTCAGATAGCACAACACAGGCTGCCTACTTGAGTCAGTTCTCTTCCCAAACAACCAACCCTTTATGGCACAGACAAGGTGAAGGGGGCTGGCTAGACCCAAAGGTCATTCACCAGCAAGCAGAGCACAGGGATCCAGAGTGAGGCAGAGGAAAGCCAGCATGCCCAACCCTGCACAGGGGTCTAGAGTCTACTCCTGGGGAGCCATGCAGAGGTACGCCACGGAGAGTACTGCCACAGTGCTGGCCTTAAAGCAAAGCCAGAAATGGGGTGGCAAGTCCAATTTTCTCCCAGGGACTGGCACCTCGATATTTGCATTCGGGCACGAACAGAATGCCCCCAGAAAGCCAGTGCAGCAGCTGCAAATGTGTTCCCCAGAAGCAGTTCACAGATGCTCTGATGCGCCTAAGGAGTCACTAGTGTTGCACATAGCGGTAGCCCTGCTGTGTCTACACTGGTGCAACCACTGGCTTCTGTGGGTGAGACAGCACAGTAAACAAGCCCATCCAAAGATGTATTTGGTGTGAATGCAGCCCACTGCCTCTGTCCTCTTGGAAATGTGTGGTTTGAAAACCTGTGTCATCCTGCCATTTAAAAATGAGACTGATCCAAAGCTTTTCATGTCTGAGAAACCCTCAGATAAAGATGGCACAAGCACTTGTTCCTCTCTTGGGTGCCTGGCTTCAGTTTCTATGTACACACCCGTTGCTGGTGGGGTGTGGCAGTGGAGTAGGTCCAGGCTATGACAGGACCCTTCCAGTCTCCCACCGGGATAGGTGTCTTCTGACCAGGAAGCAGATACTCCCAGCTCACTGGAGCCATAAGCTGAGCCACCTAAACCACAGTACTGAGGGAGCCGCAGGGGTGGCGCCCTCCACCTGGTGGTGCCTCTGTAGCTGGGGTGTTCCCGTTCTGGGCAGGGTCAGGAAGCACCAGCAGGGCACTGCTGCTGTCTGTGGAGTCTTCCAGATCTGCCAAGGAGGTCTCTGCAGGGGGCAGTGGATGTTCCAAGTGCCTGGGCAATGCACCCTCCATGCCACCGTCCCTTGGGGTTGGCAGGCTGGCCTCCGCAGGCTCAAAAGCATCGTCATCTGCAGGAGACCAGGGGGATGTCAGAAGCAAGTGAGGTCTGTCTGGTGAGACTGAGGATTCCCTTCCTAATTGCTGAGTGGTGAACAAGATCTAGGAGAGCTCCTAGCCTAATGCTCTGGCACACACAAGCTCATCTTGCCACCATTGTTTGTGGTAGGTGAGATGCAGTAACCAACTGCTCAGAACAAAAGGAGACCAGAGGAAAGCCACTCTGACTCCACAGGGACACACAACAAGGAGCTTACGGACAGGACACCCTGGGCTGCAGCAGAAATATACAACTTCAGCAAACAGCCTGGAGAACCATTGGTGTTAGCACAAAGCCTTTCCTTAAATCTACCACCCTGCTTAGCACTTTGGGCTGTTTCTGAATGCTGGTGATCAGAGCCCTTGGCCATGAGCTGTCTCCATCCCTATTCCCTGCCCTGCAGACTGGAGGCTAGAGAGTGGACTTTGCATTTATCTAATGCAGTTTTGGTGGAAAGCTTGTCTTGTTTCAGCCTTTCTGTAGCGCTGAAGATCCAACCAAGAGCCTCTAGCATGCTAGGCAAATGTTCTACCTAATGGGTCAGGCAAGGGACAGGGAGGGAAGCGTCACTCTGGACACTCCTGAGCTATGCAGTCTAGAAGAACTACTCAGGGTAGTAACTTTTCAACACAACACTAGAACTGTTACAGTAGTGTCTTTATGGTTCAGAACAAGCTCCATATCTGCCCTCATGATTCCCGCTGCCCAGGCCCATTGCTTCACAGACATGGGCAGAGAAGCAGAGGGTTGTCCCACCACTAATAGGTGCTCATAGGAGGAAGAGAAGGATGCTGCCCATGGGTCCCCAGAACAACACCCTGAAGGTGGCCAGCACCAAGTGACTTCTGCAGGGGCAATCTTGAGAATGGCCCCAAAGTAAAGACTGAGGAGGAGGGTCCCCAGGTCCCAGGAAACCCTATGGTCCTGGTCCTGCATTCCTGATTGCTTGACAACTCCATATTCCCTCTCCCTAGGGTGGACAGGCACCTGCAGGGTCGTAGAACATACTGTCCGGGTTGATGGAAGCCTCATAGGGTGGTGGTGGATCATCCGGTTGGTCCATGTCTGGGTACTTGTACGCTGTATAAGGAGGCGGAGGGTCGTGGAAATGGAAAGTTCCACCTTCCCCGTCGTCAGAAAGATGTAGTGGGGTGAGGCCTGTGCCAAACCCATCTGGGCCATAGTCAAAGCCAGGGATCCTCCGACCAAGGTTGAAATGGTGCACTGAGCCAGCAAAACAGAACAGGAGGGAAGCTGTGTGATTTGGAGGCAGGCTACTGGCTCCTTCCTTCCCAAGGCTGACCCCCCAGTGTCACATTCCTGTCCCTGCTAGCTTAGTGTCACACCCCTGTAACCATCTACCCACTTGCCAGCCACATCCAACATGCCACATGAGACTCTGATTTGGCCAGAACCTCCCATCCCTGGATTTCTCCAACTAAGCTGTCCTCACCCCACCTATATGCAACCTATTCCGAACCTGTCACTTAACTACAGGAGCAAACCCTTGGCATTGCTGTAGCCTCCAGCTCCAATTCCGTCTACTATAGAAACTTACATGAGCATAAAGGCAAATTAGGAGGACACTGCTGCCAACTGCTGAAAACTCAGGGTCTTAGCAAGTTTCAACCCTGCCTTGGGAAACACTGGGGACCCCTTCACAGAACAGGTGAGATCCCATGTAGCTATTGGCAACTTGCTCCTAGGCCTCCTGTTGTTAGGGAGATGGGGCACTCTGGCTAAGACATTATCTCAGCTGCCTGCTGTGGCTACAAGGATCTGAGCCTCCCCTGGCAGGTGCCCATACAAGAAAGTGCCTGAATGCTTAGAGATGCTGCTCCTGATACAGAGCAGAGAGGGTAGCAGGCCTACCTTGAACTTTGGCCCATGAGTACCTCCTCAGGTATCCAACATCTCTGGCTCCCTAAGGTGTGTTCAGCCCCAAGGCAAGCAGGTATGTAGCTGCAGAGGGTCACCTTTCTCTCATACCTCACCAGATTCTACCTTGGAGGGATACAACTCAGGACAGGGGAGACTTGGAAGACCTAGGAGGGCTGAGGGTCACTAATGTGGCCCTGGGTGGGCACTCACAGTTTGCTCCAATCAGGGACTCGATGCGCTCCCGGCGCCTCTGGCGCAGCCGGTGGACCATGAAAAGCAGCAGCGAGAGGATGAGGAAGGAGGAGATGCAGCTGACGACCAGGCGCATCCCACTAGCCATGGAGTCAAACAGGCTGCTGCCATCTATGAGGAGGGTCGAGGAGGAAGGAAAGCAGCTGCTCTGAGAAAAGGAACTGGCATGGACTAGTGGTGGGGGTAGGACAAATGCAGGCATGGCTGAGGCCTTGGGCTGGGTGAGGCTTCTCCCCTCCACCCCA